GAAATTTATAATCTTATAACTTTAATAAATAATATTCAACAATGTAATTCTTTAATGGTGGTAGCTTTGTATACTGGGGCAGCAGCAACGATGGTCTTGGCTACTACGGCTTTTTGTACGATTGGTTCTCTTTGTATTCTACTTCAGCGTTGAAACCGTTGTGGGAGTCAGCGGTGTAGTGGACGGTACGGGTGACACCATCAGGTTGGACCAAGGTGTAGTATCCCTTGACAACATCTCCGTCGCGTTCTTCATGTTGGTTCTTGACATCACCGGTTACAGCGTCTTGAACTTCGTATTGGTAAGAGTATTGTGGGTGGGTGTCTGGATATACTTCTTGGTGGATAGACTTGACGATTGGGGCGGCATATTGAGCTACTGGAGCGACGGTCTTGACAACAGCTGGTACATGGTGGTAAGCAGCAACAGGGGCGTAGTGAGCTACTGGAGCGGTGTGGTAAGCAGCAATTGGGGCGGCGTAGTGAGCAGTAACTGGGGCGGAAGCGTAGTGAGTTACTGCAGCATCACTGAGGGAGGAGTAGGAAGTGGCATGGTGTCCAACACCAATAGCACCAGCTTGAGCGCAAGCTACCAAAGCAGATACAGCCAAAATCTAAAATAATATCTCAATTAATTGATGAACTAATAGTATTATAAATGTATCCAGTACCTTAGCGAACATGTTGTATGTTTGTGATACAATTCGATACTGTTCGTTAAAAATACGCTCACTTTTATATGAATTCTTTCCACTCCAAATTTGAGAAATATGTTACATAACATGATGGAAATTTGAAATACAGAGTTAGAAATAGTTATAGTTTTAATGTGTTGTAAAATGCTGTCACCACTAATTTATTCATGCAAATGTATTTAGATTATTTAGTGTTTTAAAAAATTGCTATTACATTTTGCATAATTAATATTTTAAATAAAAGTTTGTATATGGAATTTGATTGTTATTTTCTTGTTTACTTAATTTTAATTAATAAATTATGCGGGCTACTATCCTACAAAAATTAAATAACATACACATAATATTTGATTGTATAATTAGATTATATAAGTATTATTGTGCGTGCTTAATAATGATGCGATTTCAATACTTATTAAGACTCGTTATTTAAGCAAATACTGAAGGAGACTTGGGTGTCTTTCTGGTTGAAGGTCAGCGGCAATTTATGTTTAACCAATATAAGATATATAATTTAAATTATTCGATAAATATTACATGGCGATTGATTTCCAATGAATTTAAGTTATGCAACTAACTTGTATTGTATTGTATTAACTACTAGAATATTATTTGTAATTATGTGATCATTTAATTACCGTTGTTTATAAATACATTTGAAAGGGGTTGAAGAAAAGTGTATAATACTATTCGATGTTTTAATGCCAAAGTTTCTAACAAATCGCCAAATTTGTTGATGTCTACAGTGTCTACAAAATATAAATGATATGCTTATTGAACATCTCATTAATTAATACTCAGAATCAACCGAGCTATATTACACGAGCACAAGGTTATAAAATCTAAAGTCCCAGAAGATATGTTATTAATTTTACACTATTTTGTTAAATTTTTCTGATTATATATGAAATCCAAAGTCAATTTTATCTATTCATAATAACATTTATTGTAACAAATCATACTCAAAAGAAACAAAATATATCAAGAAAATAAAAAAAATAAATTGATCTGTTAGAAAGGGCTATTGACTAAAGGTCTTTCTGCCCTATCAAAAATATTATTAACATAAATTAAATTATTAATTCGCATTTAAATGCTCGCAAAATATGCTCATTACATGCGAACAACTTTTACTAACTTGGGTACATAACTTATATATATGTGCTGACTTATTTTAATGTTATATAATTTATAGATTGGGTGGATATACTGCGGTCAATAGCATTTTGTTCGTTTCAAAATATAATAATAATAAGTCATTTATTATTATTTCTGAAAAAAAAAATTTAGTAAATTAATTTTCAATTATATTTATTAAAATTATAATATAATAAACAGAACTTTGAATAATAACTTTACGGCAAACAAAAAACAGTCCATAAATATTCAGAATATTAGAATAACTCTAGTTAAGGATTAATGTTATATTATCGATGAATAGAGAAACAGTGAGGTTATTTTACATTCTTTGAAGATATTTAAGACAGTCTAAAAAATATTTCTACGATAATTATTTTCATATTGATGATAATTTTCTTAATGAATTAAAGTTATTTCAAATTTCTTTCGGCAGATTTCTATTATAAATTTCTTCAATTGCTGTTCTACTAAAATAAAATATCGATATTATGTATGAGATGTAAATTTTATAAATAATTTCAACGATTATATTCTCTTAGGCTTTGTAAACTCTAACAGCAGGAACGATGGTCTTGGCTATTACGTCATTTTATACTATAGGTTCTCTTTTGTATTTGACTTCAACGTCGAATTCATTTTGGGCATCGAAATAATCTATTTTAATGTTCAAATTATTAATTAAGCGAAATGAAATAATTTGTCTATTGAATTATTCATGATTGAAGTAAAAAAAGTCATTAACTAATTAAAAAATTTACAACTATTTTTAGAAAATAAATTATATCCATATTAGAAAACCATAAAATTTCAAGTTATATATAACGTTATATTAAAAAAACTCTTACTTGTAGTATAAATAGCAAATTACCATAAATATACTTTCAATAATTATATATATTTCAGATACTCCATTCTAGAATTAGTTGATAGCAGAGAATAAATGATTATGTTAAATTTGTAGACACAAAATAATATTATCATTCTGTATGGATAAAGTGAACCTTAATAAAACAACTTTTTTGTTAAATTTAAATCTCTTACTTTAATAAATAATTTCAACAATGTAATTCTTTAATGATGGTATGCTTTGTATACTGGGGCAGCAGCAACGATTGTCTTGGCTACAACAGCTTTTTGGACGATTGGCTCTCCTTTGTATTCTACTTCAGCGTTGAATCCGTTGTGGGCGTCAGCGGTGTAGTGGACGGTACGGGTGACGCCATCAGGTTGGACCAAGGTGTAGTATCCCTTGACAACATCTCCATCACGTTCTTCGTGTTGGTTCTTGACATCACCGGTGTGGGCATCTTGGACTCCGTATTGGTAAGAGTATTCTGGATGGGTATCTGGGTATACTTCTTGGTGGACAGATTTGACGATTGGGGCGGCATAATGAGCTACTGGGGCAACAGCCTTGACATCAGCTGGAACATGGTGGTAAGCAGCGACTGGAGCGGCGTGGTAAGCAGCAACTGGGGCGGCGTAGTGAGCTACTGGGACGACGGCCTTAACTACGGCTGGAGCATGGTGGTAAGCGGCAATTGGGGCGGCGTAGTGTCCAGCTACTGGGGCAGAAGCGTAGTGAGTTACTGGTGCATCGCTGAGGGAGGAGTAGGAAGTGGCATGATGTCCAACACCAATAACTCCAGCTTGAGCACAAGCTACCAAAGCAGAAACAGCCAAAATCTAAAATAAATTTATAATTATTGTATAATTTAATAATAATATTCATTGATAAACTACCTTAGCGAACATGTTGTATGTGTGTGATACAATTCGATACTGTTTGATGAAAATGATCTCACTTTTATATTAATCCTTACTACTCCGATTGCGAAGAATATATTACGTAATGTCACACAAATTAGAAATTTGTGATTTGAACTTGAAGCAATCTAATTTGCTACATATTTTAATACATTTGCGGCAGAATTTTTGTGCATAATCTATAAGAAATACATATTGTGAATTTGTTTATATATTTTTTTTTAACGACTGTGTTAAAATCTCCTAATAAAAAAATTAATGCACTGTTTCAGTTGGATATTTTTAAGTCAGTCAAATTTAAATAACTAAAAAATTGAAATATATTAATATAATTATAAAAAATTATCAACTGTTACAAAGGGTTATTGATAATGCGTCTTTCCGACCAAAATATATTTAATTTTTTCGTTAGTCCTTTGGCCAGCCTATTAGTATATATATTTGTATTGTATGTTAAAATTTATTTATGTATAAATTGTACTTTTTTTTCTCTTCTTCTTATGTATTGATGTTTGGCCAATAAATTATTATTATTATTTTTATATTTAATTTATAAAGAAGTACAGAGAAATAACAATGCTTATTACGAAATATAAAACAATAATATTGTCCTATATCCAATTGACGGTTGATATATTTTAAATTTACACTTACATAATAAATTGATAGATTCACATAAATTAGTTCATATAAAAGCGAGATAAAATTTATCGAACAGTACCACAAATTCTAATTATTATTATTTATAGATTTTGGCTATATCCGCTTTGGTAGCTTGCGCTCAAGCTGGAGTTTTCGAGCTTGGACATGGTCACCATGCCAGTTCTTACTCTTCCCTCAGTGGTGCTCCAGTAGCCCACTACTCTGCCGCTCCAGTAGCTGCTCACTACACCGCCCCAATCACCGCATACCACACTGCACCAACTGTTGTTAAGACTGTCGCCCCAGTAGCCGCTTACCACGCCGCTCCAGTTGTTGCTTACCATTCCGCCCCAGCTGGCTTCAAGGCTGTCGCCAAAGTAGCCCACTACGCTGCCCCAATCGTTAAGGCCGTCCACCAAGAAGTATACCCAGACACACACCCACATACATACTCTTACCAATACGGAGTACCAAGACGCTGTAACCGGTGATGTCAAGAACCAACAGAAGAACGTGACGGAGATGTTGTCAAGGGATACTACACCTTGGTCCAACCTGATGGTGTCACCCGTACCGTCCACTACACCGCTGACTCCCACAACGGTTTCAACGCTGAAGTAGAATACAAAGGAGAACCATATGTACAAAAGCCGTAGTAGCCAAGACCATTGTTGCCGCTGCCCCAGTATACAAAGCCTACCACCATTAAGAAAATGTCATTGTTGATATTATTTATTGAATTATAAAACATATATTTGAAAACTAAAAAAAAATAGTTTTAATTAAAACAAACTGACTAAATTAATGATGACCGATTGATTACATTCACGTAAATAAGCAAAAAATAACTATGCTTCAACATAATTATCATGGATATGCTTTCCTCGAAATTTTAAAATTCTTCTGAAATTATAAAACCAATTCTGAACCATTTTTCAATCATTTTTTAATTTTATTTCAATGGTTTCCTCGTTCCATATAAAGTTTAATTTAATATGATTTACAAATCATACTATCATCTTATAGCTTAAAATTGGCAAACATAGATGCATTTGTCCAAGCCTTTATTTCCATAAGAACCATTCAAGAGTTTTTTGTATATTGTTTTTTAATTTTCTGATAATTCATATTATATTAACATCGATTACATTACTTTTTCACATTTTATTATAAATAAACATTTCTCATAGATTACAATGCTATATATGACCAATGTCGATAAACCTCTGGCTAAATGAATTTATTACTTATATACAAGGCAGAAAGAACTCTGCTACTATCCCTTTGCAGCAGTTTACTTTTAGTTTTTTCTTTTATTATAGAATGGAAATACTAAATAATATAAAGTAAAACAAAAAGTAACATTGATTGTATCTATAACCCCTGGTTTTATACCCAATCTATAAAGCAATAGATGAAATTGGCAGAATTATAATAAGTTTAAGTAACTAATTCTGTAAAAATCGTATTACTTATAGAACTTATTTTTAATTTGATAAATTAAAAA